TCGGTGAAAATCTTTGCTCCTCAAGGTAAGACTTGGCCAGTCGATTTTAGTCCACTGGAAGGGCCCATGCACCTTTGTTTGCCGTCCGTAGACGGCACATGTGATCCTTGCTGTGATTTTAGTCCTCCCAACGCTCTGGGGAAACGAGACCGTCAATCTTTCCATAAGCGGGCTCAAACATCAGAAAATTTGTGTGATAGGCTACTGCTACTGTATGCACACCCTGGAAAGAAATGAATCGCCGTAGTTCCTTAGAATTGCTGATATTTGCGCGTTTGATATCCAAAGATTTACCTTCTACAATTTGAGATATTCCTTGGAAGTGGGTCAGATAAGTAATAGGTAAAATTTAACAATAGGAACAACGTCGCCAAACTGTGTTGACACCCAAGGCTGGACAAATATAAGGCTCTATTATGGAACCCAGGTCTGGGAGTTTTGTACAGGAGTCCCCCTCTACCTCATTATGGCATGTATTCTCAAGTGGTTTCTGCGCGGCTCCAAATAATACATTGCAGAGAACGTCTACGGGTTTGTTGTCTTTTCAGTTCTGTATTTGCAAGTTGAGATTTGCCGGGCCATTTTCATCATCTTCCCCGCATTTGCCCAAATCCACTGGGCAATGTGTCAAGTGGAACAATTATTTAGCGAGCATATGCTGGGTACAGTACCCTGCCAACGTCGCGAGCCAGGAATCAAGATTTTTTGTGGGCCAATTATGCGGTTTTGTGGACATGTTTCTTTATTTCTTTGCACGGCTGAACTCGTGCGCTGTACTCTGGCTTCGATAATAATATGCAACGGCAATCTCTCTAAGAGGCACGGGGAGCGCACCCGGCCGAAGCGACCAGCTAGTCCTCCGTCGCCCCCGGCCTCTCGGCACAAAATCCGAGAGTCACATTCCGTCCGCGGGGGAGGGTTATGCAAAACATTTTGAGTAAATGTTGACGTTTTCCGATAGGCTTTCTTGTCATAACGCCGGATTTACATGTGTGTTGACATTCTGGCGGACCTTAATGCAGGCCAGAAACTCCATGGTGAAGAGCCCCCGGCGTCTTCCTTGGGACAGCAGTGCGCGCAATCAAAACCCAGCCTGCAAAAACAGGTCGCGCCCGGGAGATGCCCGGTGTCGGAATTATAAGCCAATAAGGGTGCCAGGCATCCACTGCCCCGAAAATGATCTTATTGACCTGTTTACGTTGAGTCTACCCGCTGTTCCAAGCGCCCCAAGCCAAAGTGGTACTCACCCTTTAAAATAAAATGACGTCAGTATTGTGTCACAGCTTTTTTTCCCCTTCTTTTTTCCCGGCGGTTTATAATCATCGCACACCTAATATCCTCAAATTGATGAATCTAAGTCAATGCTGGTAGTGGCACTGTTGCCAAGGTGATCTTATAGATAATCCAACCAAAAAAAAACTTACCAAGTGTGTATATTGTTAGTGGTACAACAAAATATCGCCACTTCCCATCAACCTGTTTTCTCCTGCGGGCCACACCGATCAGTCACCGATATATTATTGCGAATGGTTGAGATAACAACGTCTCGCTAAGTGCGCGTCCCAGTTTCAACATTTAACCCCGGCGATCGGAACAACACGCGGGGCCCTCGGTTCGACCGGCACACAGTGACAGGCCTCCCCTCCTCTCCTCGATTCCTCCCCGCGGTTGCCTTATATTTCCCCCGGGCATGGAATAACCATTATGTCAGCGGGGCCGAATCCAGGTCAATCGAGTCAATGATAGAACAACATTATGATAGCAAATTCGCAGGCTCGGCCGGGTTTGGGTTTAATCAGGACGCCTCTGCGCTTCGGTGCGCCATGGCGCGGCCGGGCCTCGGTTAGTCGTCGTCACTGAAAACTGCACAGGCGCGCTTGCGTCCTCGAAGCCACCTGCTTCAGCCCTGATATTCTGAACGTGTAGATGGTGTCAGCGCGTGCCACTGCCGATTCGATACGGTACTCTAAAGTTGGCGAACCGAGTCCATCTGGGGACATCACTTCAAATGGTAAAGTGTGGTAGAGAAACTATGACCCGATAGGGTGGGATATCGATATAATCGCTGACTCATTACGAGCCGCACTGAAATACTCCTCAGGACTATTTTTAAGACTACTTGCACAGACAAGCAATAACTGAAAACGATGGTGGAAAATGTGGTTTGCAGCGTGCTATAAAAAAATACATTTAAATATACATTTAAGGCAAAAACCGATCGGAATGCCGATTACCGAGTTCAGGAGATATAAATGCAATCACACGTGTAGTCCAACCACCCGTGGTTGTATATATATAGCGCATGCCCCATTGTAATATTAGACTCGCTTTGCAGCCGTTCATCGGTATTACAAATATACCAACAGTAAAAACACCAGCAACTAGTGAGAACTGCGGCAGTCAAGCAGTTAAAGCAGTAATGCTTTGTGATCTGTGGGGTGTGTGTTCGAATCCTGGGTCGAAATTATGGACGGGGAGGATTTTTTTCTCAGGAAAATAAAGTCCGAATGTTTTAGACCGGTACCAATAGGAACCTAATTCTTATGGAGTTTTGTGTGAAGATTTTTATGGTTGGATGAGCCCCATACATGTGTGCATGGCTGTGAACGTTGGTTTGGCTTCATACGTGTGATTCCATTTATAGCTCGGTTCAGAGCTGTTTAAAGAGAGAGTTGCGACATGAGTGGCTCAATTGTTGGAACCAAAATGGTGGATTATGCCTCAGTGACGTGGAGGATTAGCACACAGTAGTTGAATGCTAAACTGCGCACAAAATGATGAGCAGCCATTTTGGTTCCAAAGTCTGAAGTGGCTCTACGCTCTCTACATACAGTTCTGACCGAGTCCTCACACTAGCGCTCAACAGCAAGAATCATGAGTGGCGGTGAGTTGATGACGTCATACCTTATGAGACTGCTGATTGGCCAGAACCGCGATATCTTTGGAAATTAGCTCAGGGTTCTTGATGTAGTGATTTGTCGTCCCATTGCGGTGCACCCAGTTTGTCCGCTCTCAGACACTGAGTGTAAGCAGTCTCGTACACAGGAAAACTCTTGTTTTTACATTCTTGCATAATATGATTGATCGCTCTCTGTGTAACTTGGCCCTTCTATGAACAACAAAATGTGGGTGTTATTCTCGATTCACATTCTCATGCTTTCGTCGCACTAGTTCCCATGAGCTGCACCTAAGTTGGGATGCTTATGGCGCGAATGCAGAATCGTCTCTGGAAATGTGATTTTTTTTTGTACAATGATAACATACAAACACAGAAATGGCTAAAAGGTGAAAGGGCTCGTGCAGTTTTTTCCCATGCAGCTCTTGTAAAATCTCTTGAGTGTGTAATTGAAACTGGCTGCCATTTTTTGCCGTGTCAATTTGAGGGAATTATGCCTTATGAATTGAATGCTGAAGAAAAGTTACCTATTTATGAGCATGAGTCTGATATCATCCAGTGTAGTGACCTCGGTGTTAAAGCTGCTTCTGCACTACAGTTTTCCAGACTTTTGCCTGTTTTGCTATTGAAATTTTGCTTACTTTGATGACCGATCGTGTTCACCTCTTGACAGTTGGCCACTAGGGCCTGTGGTCACAGTTTTCTGGCACATATTTGCTGAACGCAGATTCCCGCACAACACGCAGCGCCCTCATTTGTCAAGAAAGCATGGACAATTGCAATGTTGGAGAAAAATGCACATTTTGTTGGGAGTAACCACAAAGAAATGTCAAATAGTGGTTTTGTGTGTGTGTGAGTTTGTATACACATTCAAATCGTGGACATATAACAATAGGGGACAATAGGGTCCACGGTTGCCGAAGAGTCCACGGTTGGAAAACGTGTACAAAACATATGGGAGGTCTTCCGAAAAAGTTAAAGTATGCATCTTTTCCACTTAAACAAAAGGCTATTCATATGTGTCCAACTATAACCTTAAAAGAGCACTTGCACGCTGAGCTAAATTTTTTTTTTCAGAAACACTTCGCGGTCATTTTTGCCACCAATTTTGTGAAGATTGGATATGCCGTCCTCTCATAGTACGCATTTTCTTCCGAGACTAGACAATTAAAATCCACACGTTTTCCGCTGACGCGCGCGCTCAATGAACGCGGTCCAACACGAGTGAGGCCGTGAACTTTAAGTAACGTTAACCACACCATCAAAACCCAGTGACTTACTATGGGAAGTTTATTACTTCGCATTTTGACTTTGATTTCTTCTTTCTATGCATGCTAATGTTTGAAACCATCAGGTAATCGACAGCTGAATTTAGGGGTGGAATCTGCCCCAGTTGTTGAGATCCCTCCATAAAGGTTAACAGAAATTGAAAACATTTAGTTCACGTGAAGTATTTCAAAACAACAATAAATACGTAACCATTTCAAAAACATTATAAATTCAATGTTGACCCCATTAATCGTGACCCCAAAATGAATAAAAAGATCCTGCGTTTCCCCGCCCACCAAAAATCCCCTTTTGGCCGTTCGCGCTCCCATGCTGATTTGATGACGTCATCAGCAGAACGCCTACATATGCAGAGCACATGACATGATTGCACACAGTCCATGAAGTATCGGACGATTGCAATAGACCACGTTGTGTTTGGTGTAGCTTGGCCCAAAGGCAAACACAGTCTCGGTTCCAGGTAAAAATTAAAAGACGCAGTCCTACCGTGTATTTCTTGGACTGAGAGAGTGTTTTCGATTTGAGACAGGTGTCACGATTAATGGGTAAACATTGCATTTATGATGTCTTGAAAATGGCTACGTGTTTGTTGTTATTTTGACATATTTCACGTGAACTAAATGTTTTCAGTTTCTATTAACCTTTAAAAAAGACCAGTTCTTCCAGGTTTGAAAAAAAGTACACTGTATCTTGGAAGACAGCCGAACGATAAAAATATAATTGAAAAGGGCGCTCTGAGGCCGTCGAGAAAGGGTTTGCGATATGTATTCCACTGTCATACTTAAAATGTCCATGAAATAACCTACTGAGACCTGACTTACTGATCTACACATTTAATAGCCATCTGAACAGCATACAACGACAATCTTCTGACTGTAAGTTTCACAGAGACATTGATTAAAATCGATTCTTACTTTCAAACAGCACACCACAAACTTTAACAAAGTGAGTGTCTTCTTAAACTGCAACGGTTACTGTCAAACAAGACGGATGCAATTGGTTGAACACATTATAAAATCGTTAAGAAATCAACTGATTGTCGTGCTTTTTCAACGTGTAATGACCTCAACACCGATGACTGAACAATCGCTATGGTTTACGTGCTGTCTGTGATACAAAATCTGTGAACTGTTACCTATTGGTATTGTGGAGGTGCCAACTTTACAGTACTTAAATGTGTTTTTTTTTGGTGCATCACGAAACTTCTATTCCGTCAATTTCTGTCTTTCCAAATGGGTATGTCTTCAGGATTCCCCAAATGGTAGTGTGTGTGGCTATTCAGTAGCGCACACAAACACCTAATACAAAATGGAGAGTGCCTCGTATCATTTGCGAAGTAAAATAGGGCTTAAATTTCACACATTTAGTCAAAAATAAAAAATTCGAGAATTCCTCCTGGTGCTGAAGGCTTTGCAGAACTTTGATTCGATAATTGTGTCCACTTGTATCCCCTGGGGCATGAACATTTTCTACTTAGCATAACTGTACAATTTCAGACAGTTTGCTATAAATCCTAAGTTGCATTTCATACGATTCAAACAGTTCAAAAGTCAATTGTTAGATGGGCAGAGTTTTTGTTGATTTCCCCCTTTTCTGCAATACCCTGTCCAATATTGGCATCTAGGCCTATCCTTTGGCTGTATTACATCTATTTTCGCGATTGCATGTTACCAACCAGGCTGAACGGATGCTCTTTTGGAAGCTCAGTTGACCGTCAAGGTGAGTTTTGTCTTCATGAAACCTCCAATAGCCAGGGTGCTCATCTGCCTTCTCAGCAAGGGCCGCTTGGGGTTGGCAGAGATTACCGACAGCCTCCTTGTGTCTCCTGCCCCAAGATGCCCGTCTGTGGACGGGTCCGTCCCCGCCCCGGGGACGGTGGTGGGCCTTGAGGTCAGTCTAGTCGGCCGTTGTAAGAGCTGATCCTGGTACAGCCTGAACAAGGCGCACAGGTAGTGGTCTTTTGTCGGGCCGTCGGGGAAGACCACGGTGGAAGCAAAGGAGGAGGGCTTGGCGGTGGGCGGTGGCTTCTGGTTGTCAGCTCCTTGATCTCTCAGCTCTTTCTCGCGCTCTTCGAGACTCTGCACGAGAGCATTCATGGACTCCTGTATCTGGCGCTGCCTGGTGAGCAGCTCTTCCTCCTCGTACCACTTCTTGATGCCGATTGGAGGCAGGAATGGCTTGGCCACTCTGTGGTGGTTACCGAGCAGCGACGCCCCGGTCGACGCGGCTCCCAGGCTAGACTGGTGTGCCCGGGTCCTCTGCTGCAGGTCCCGCTCCAGGAGCTTCTGGCTGTGCCGCGCCCACTCAGTCGGGTTCATGAAGCACTCGTTGTCTCTGGAGTTCACTGAGGACCGGCCCTGCTGGAGGAGCACCTGGGCGCACCGGTAGTGGCCCCCCTTGGTGGCCAGCAGGAGCGCAGTGCAGCCCTGCTTATTGCGGTAGTCCACGGGGATGCCGTCCTTGGTCAGGCTCCGAACGAGAAGCTCCAAGCAGCCCAGCTCCCCCCTGGCCGCGGCCAGGTTCAGTGGGGTGTCGCCGTTCTGGTCCGGCAGGTTCTTCTCTAGGCTGTCCTCCTCAAGCAGGAACGCCACGATGGCTTCCCGGCCATGCATGCAGGCGTGGGACAGCACCGACCGCCCGGCCGAGTCCACCCGGTTGATGTCAGCCCCCTTCTTGAGGCAGAGCCGGATGACTTTCAGGCTCAGCTCCTCGGAGTCCAGGGAGCAGGCAACCATGATGGGAGTGCGCCCAGCTGAGTCCCTCTTGTCCACGTCCATGCCTAAGCCGACCAGCAGCCGCACTTGGCGTATCCTCTGGTCCGTGATGGCCCTGTGCAAGCCGGAACCTGACTGAACCCAAGTCTCCGACATGGCTGCTCGATTCCACTGAGACTGAGAACTTCACCGGAATTCGGTTGTGGAGTTCAAAAATCCCAAAAGATGTGGACAAGAGAGATTTCGGCCCTTCCACCCATGGCTGATACACCCGGCCAATGTGAGCGAAAATCCCCAACAATGTAAATGTATAGTGACAAACCCCCGCGCACTGCACGACAACTACCTCTCTTTATCCATCATTAATATCCTGACAAAGCCTGGCTAAATTCGTCAGGGACGGGTTTGTTCAAGCTCATTTGTTCGCCTGATCCGTTTTCTTTGTGACCATGGGGTCATTCTGACACTCGCTATTGTGTTGTGATTTACCGACTTGGTTGTCCTCGTGTTTAGGTATGCGTGACCGTTTATCGCGTCGCCATGGCGGCCGACAGCGATATTGTTCCCGTAAAGAGCGCGCCTCTCGTCAAATGACGAAGAAGCCTCGTCTTTTTTTATGAAACGCGCACTATGGAAACCATAAAGTGTCGGAACTCTACGAAGATAACTCGAACGTGCCAAAACAGTTGATATATCGGAGATGGGACGTGTTTCCCTTTGTGATTAGCAATCCGAAGTGGACCCATGATACGGCTGTGTAAATTTACCTAGCCGAGCTTGATAACCACTGAACACTTCTGGTTTACAAGTAGATTATCGAATTGCCGTTTTGTTGTCGTTGAATCGTGGTCCGGTACTTTGAAGGGGAGCGGCTCGGCTGAGATCAGACAGAAAATTTCAATCGACGTACAACCCGACAGTCATGATTTCTGAGTGCTTTTCTATAATGCCTGCGAGGAAAGAGGACTCATAAGGAAGGAGGTTGATTCGAATGTGATGACTTTAAACACCACTGTTCACTACCTGCACCGTGTATACTTTTAAACCTCAGGAATTGCAGGGAATAGGGAGATGGACTCCACCCCTCGGACCTCGAACTTGTAATAGTACCAGACAGAAATGTGGTACTGTTGAAAAAAAGTTATGTTCATTACACCTTCAAATATTGTAATACAATGTGAGGCATTTTTTATGTCACAATTCACACTACAGTCTAGAAGAAAGCGAAGTCTATAGGCAGTCGCTGACTAAAACCTAAGAGTGTATTTTGAACAATTTTCAGAAAATCAACTTCGCAGTTTAGCTTCGACAAACAGTAATCTAAAGTTGTTAGCATTGTCTTTACAAATTCAAATGTATAGGTTAAAATTCCCCCTTTCCAAAGTTGCTGCTGGTGGCCTCCCTCGTTTTTTTTTCTGTTTTAAGCACAACTGTCTTTATTTTTCAGACTCTTCTTAGACCTAAAGTTTATATAAAGATATATTCATTGGCCAGTTTGGGATATTGCCAGGACAGAGGCTAATACAGCAATCTTGAAAAACAAGCTAATGAAAAAAATGTTTAGAAAATCTTGCTTCATTTCTTGAAATATTGCAGCATATTATTGTCAACAACTTTATCATTTGAACCATTTATTTCTTCCAAACAGAAAAATTCCCAGGATTGGAAGTACACTTTTTCGCCTCTTCCCTCCAATCCATGAACGGTGATTACCTACCACTGCCGCGTCCCGGGCAGGCGGATTTCTCGACGATGTGCCCGTTTGTTAGCGTTTAAATATTTTAGTGAGTTTTCGGTTGTCACGGGCCCCGCGAGTCTTTCAATTTTAATGAGAAGAGATCGACTGGGTTCTCCAGTTGGTCAGGGGAAAAAAATATCGGCCAAGACGATCGATGACAGAGGGAAGAAGTTAATCTGTCTTAGGAAAAACTGCAAAGATAACTACGGAGATAGAAGGAGCTCCTTTTTTAGTGGTTATCTCCCGGCTCGTCATATCAACGCCATGGACGGTGCTGGTGTACAGACATTGAAAGCCTAGTACGAAATTAATGTACGTAGATCCTCGAAATATTGCGGCCCAGCTCGATAAAGTGAGTCATGGGTATAGCAAGGACTACTTCTCAGTTGATGGCTTTTGAAAATTGTGTGTGTAGATTTATGAGTCATTACAAAAAAGTGAATTTAAATCCAATTTAGCTCTTGGCTGCCATGGTTGTACTTAACTTTCTGAACCATTTATAATCCAAACATCTCTCACATTGTAAATAAACAGGAACCCTCCTTGGCTGTGGCGTACAAAATGTCAATTTCCGTCAGGCTGCCAGACTGAGTAACACTTAAAAGTGATCTCAGCTTACATATTTTTAAGCTGATGAAATAGAAACAAAACTATTGAAAACAAAATAGCCTTATATAAGACTCTTTGAGACTGATAACATTTAAACCTTATCTATGGAGTACATCCCGTCGGGACCGATCTGTAAAATACGTGTATTCTTCTTGTTCCAGAGCCAATTGTTGGGGGACGGGGGCTAGACCCTTCGCACGTGACATCACCTTTTAAATTTCGCTTCCGGTTTTTCATTTTTGCGCGGGAGTGGAGCACATAGAACCACGCCTGGTTTTCTTGACATCCTAACAATCATCCTGTCCATTTCTGCATTTCATCTTCTCACCTTTAGTCTTTTTGAGCGTCCTTAATAAAAAAAAAGACAAGTAAAGTATGGCTCGATTTTGAAATAACTCTTGATTAATAACAAGAATGTTGCGCTGGAAAGCGGTTATTTTTTGCACTTTTTCCCCCGTATTTATCACATAAAAATATATTGACACATTGAACATCGACCAGTTCGTCACGATCTTTCGTTTCAAAACAGAAAAATATGACCCTTTACTTTTAATCACGATTTAGAAGACTACTTTTTAACAAAAGTTAAGCTTGTACTGCCAATAACAATTGAAGCCTTCAGCGCTGATTCAAACCTGCCTTCCGTACTGTCCATTTCTTACATATACGGACGCTCGATCCTGCGCCCTGCGTGTGACGACATAGTGAATCATTTAGTAGCTTTGAATTTTTCCTTTCCTCGAGTTAAGCAACAAGGTCTATCAGTCCTCTTATCAAAGAAAAGAATGGATAAAATGTGCATACTTCTGATTAATTCTGCTCGCAATCATAAAGTGCCAAAGGGAATTTTCATTAAAAGTGGAAGAAGTGTAAACTTCTCTTCTCTTAAAAATAATGAGCAAACAAAATGAAATGTACTAAAGACTGAAACGACTCGTACAAGTCTAACCAGCACGGAATCAAATGTCCATGGGCAGCCATACATAATTAAATCAAGGCATTCTGTTTACGTGCGTGGCTACTGAGTGTCACCCCCTTCGCTGTCCACAATGCAATCTGCCCTGATCGATAACTGATCGATAATTGCCAGCGCGCCCTGCAGGGAAACCCCGCATCGGCCCCTTGTCGATGAACTGATGTGGGCGAGTGTAAAGATCAGCCTGGCATGGATCGAGCAGATGTAATTGTCCGAAGCAATGGCGGGTAACCTGGTAACCAATAATATACAATTACCACAAGCACGTCATCTGTGGCTGCTTTTGTTTTCCTCACTGAATTGCCAGCTAAGAAGAATTTTACCCGTAGAACTATTTTGGGGAGGATATTTTTGGTACCTAAGGCTCATGAAATCGATGCAACCTTTTGATGCAGTCCTTTTAAATACTCCTCCTGTTTTTAACAGCACATTGGTGCCTTCTTGATGTTTATGCAAATGCGGATGTATGCGAGCAAAGGTCACTTCAGGCAGAAATCCCAATGTTATTAATGAACACAAACCAGAATTTTTCAGATTTAGCTGTCTCAAATTTTCTTTCCTTCTTGACTAATGAACAAAGGTGTCCCACAAACACTCCCAGTGTGCACATTTCGGTTACACAATAAAAAGGGAACCTCCTACTTGAATAATTTACTGCTGGAGTGACGTCACAGCAGCAGCGCCCTCAACTGTAAGGGGAAGTGTGGAAAACTGAAACGTTTAAACAGTACCGCGGTACCTCTCACTAAGATTATCTGAGAGGAGATGTCGATCAAGTTCATATATATAAGACTTACTGGAGAGGAAAATTTGCAAGAAAATTAAAAATGTTCTTTAATTTATGTCATGCGTTGGTTAATATCGGGAGTTGGCGAGCACTTTATCCGCAAGGTTCAAAGCCTTAACATCCTGCCGAACATGGCTTAGTGAATAAATAAGTAAAAGCTTTAAAATCTTGCTACCCCGTTCCAGACTAGAATTTGGAAACTTCACTGAAGCTACCCACCCTTACATTTACTAACAATAAGTGTGCAGTGGTGTAAAAAAAGGGTGGGAGGGTATGAGGGGCAAGCTTAAGCCCACCCATCCCCCACTCGAGTCCTGTGCCCCCCCATGTGCCCCACCCTCGCTCAGAAAAGGTAGCAAAAAACTGTTGATAGTCCCCTGCTGCATGTACCCCGGCTATATGCCACTGTATAGATGCATAGACGAACCTTCATAGTGTACACAAAAAGATTCTTTTCTTCCTATCCATTGCGCGTTTGGAAAGGGTCGACAAATTTCGCGCGTTCTGATTGGCCAATGCGTTGCAAACTCTTGGTGGCGCACTATTGTGAATCGCTCGTATTATTTTCTCTCCATGAAAGCTCTGAAGGGACATCGCAAATCGTGAAAAATGGACGCCAGTAGGCCTATTCAAGATAAATAATCCTCGACTTGCCCCTAATCGTAGGTCAATATCGACGTCAAAAATTCCATGCCTCGTTCCCCGGTTCGTCCCCCTCCAATCAATCATGGATTAGAGTGCATTGCGATGATCTTTAATTCGTCAATGTTCCCTTCCATACTGAATGGTAACCATCATAGTGGTGAACCCGGAAAGTTTCAGGCCGAAAGGAATCCCCTTCAAATTACAGTCTCCTGTTTTAAGGACGGCATATTGCTCCAATTTTTCCCCTCAAATTTGCAACTGTTCTAACAATAAACTTTCTCAGCTTCGCCAAATATTGCTGTAGGACCCTCTCGTCTTTCCATCTCGCTTACAAACTCTCATCAAGGCCAGTTTGTCCCCAGCTACGACAAGGCATAAACACGGCAGCAATCCGCTACTTTGTTGTGCTTTAATTTGGCGGGCCAGCCCGATCTGTGTTTTCACTCCAAACCACCACGTCCTGATTTCTGCTCAGCCATCATTTTTCTTTCCTCCCCCGTCTGCGTCATCTTCTCGTGATGTCCCTGACACCACCAGCTCCCCTCTTCTTCCTCTGACTCGGCAGGGTCGAGTGTCCCATCTGACACGCCGG